TATATATATAACTGCCATCATAAATTAAAGAAGATATTGGAAACACACGTTTACTAAAATTATTTTAGAAATATTATGTTAAGTCAGAGTGATGATATTTATCTATAGTTAATAATTGGACAGTAAAAAATACAGGAACACTTGTCTTTGAAATTTTTATTTTTTTTGAGCAGACTTTTTTCTTTAAATCAAATTATTACTTCAATCTTATTCAGGAGGTGACACTTAGACTTTTTTAGACACAGACAACTTTTATTGTCATACACATTGTTTTGTACAGCTCTCATGACATTTCTATTTCTTAAAGTGCAGCAGTGATCAAATGTATACGTTGTGGGAGAAAAAACATGGTGCAAAAAAACACATTGATGTGGAAGTTCTGGGCAATGTATATATATATAGTGCAATTATGCAGTTTTTTGGTTTGGTGTTGTCAGTGTGATGCACAGTCTGTGACTTGGAGAAGCTATTTCTGAATCTGCTTGAACTGCTGCACAACGTCTTCCCAGAGGGCAGCAGGGAGAACAGTCCATGGTGGGGGTGTGAGGGGTCATTAATGATGTTATGGGCTTGGGACATGCAGCGCTGGGATGAAATGTCTTTTATGGAGGAAAGAGGGGCCCAAATGATCTTCTCTGCAGTTATAACCACGCTTCTCAACAGTCTGTGGCGCAACAGTCTGCGGCAGAGGAGATGGCATCTTCAGTAGAGCGGTTTAATCGGTAGGCGAACTGGAACGGGTCGAATGTTGGGGCGAGACTGGAGATGATGTGTTCTCTAACCAGTCTTTTGAAGCACTTCATCATGATGGGAGCCAGTGTGACAGGCAGGTAGTCATTGAATGAGGTGGCTTTTTTGGGACCGATGATGAAGACTTCGAGCATGCTGGCACTATGGATTGGCGCAGCAAGGTGTTAAAGATGTCTGTGCTGACACCAGCCAACTGACCTGTACACTCCTTGTACATCCGACCGGGTATGTTATCGGGGCCTGGGGCCTTTCTTGGGTTGACTCTCCTCAGAGTTTTCCTCACTTCAACTACATCCAGTTTGAGAACTTCCTCCCCCTGGCGTAGAACAGCTTTCACTGCTGAAGTGCTGTTTAGTGCCTCAAACCTTCCAAAGAAGGTGTTTAGTTCATTTAGGAAGTCAGCGTTTGCTGCATCTACCGGGTAGGAGGGTGTGTTGTATACCGTGATAACCCCTAGGCCTTGGCACATCCTCCTGGTGTTGCTGGCATCATGGAAAAGATCCTCGATTTTCTGGCTGTGCTTCTGCTTCACTGATCTGATTGCATCGTTCAAGTTGGCATAAGCTGTTCTCAGAATCTCTTTATCACCAGACTTGAAATGTGCTTTTAGCGATTTTGAACCTCCCCATTCATCCAGGGTCATTGGTTTTCTCGGGTGGTGATGTTATTTGTGATGCTGACATCTTCGATGCATTTGTTGATGTAGGGTAGGCTGACACAGTCATGGCATACTCATCTATATTTATTATGTTATCATAGGTTGCTGCAGCTTTGAACATATTCCAATCAGAGCATTCAAAACAATCACACCACACTCTGATTTCTCTGACTGTCAGTTTAGCCCTGATTAGCTGGGGCCTGTATGCAGGAATTAACATGACAGGAAGGTGATCTGATAACCCGAGGTTGGGGCGGGGTGCTGCTCTAAATGCATCTTTGATGTTAGAGTAAACTAGCTCTAAAGTGTTTTCACCCCGCGCTGCAAAGTCCACATGTTGGTAGAAATGATGGAGAACAGTCTTCAAGTTAGCGTGGTTAAAATCCCCAACAATGATGAAAACACCAAATTGAAGCTCAGAGTTATAGCCTGATATAAATGGCTTGTACTTATATAGTGCTTTTTCAAGTCAGGAGACTTGACCAAAGCACTTTACATACAGTCATTCACCCATTCACACACACACTCACACACTGATGGTGGCAAGCTACATTGTAGCCACAGCTGCTCTGGGCCATCTAACAAAAGCGAGGCTGCCGTACACTGGCGCCACCGGGCCGTCTGACCACCATCAGTAGACAATGCAGGTGAAGTGTCTTGCCCAAGGTCTGGAGAGCAGAAGCTGTCGACCAATCAAGACATTTTTACACCAGCTGTTGTGAATGTACACACAGAGCCCACCACGTCTAGTCTTACAGCTTAGTTCTTTTCTATTACCCCTCCAGGCTAATAGCATTGTCCAATATCGATGAATGAAGCCAAGACTCAGTCAGAACAGAAATTTGAATGATAGTTGTTAAGACTCACTGACACTCTTTGAAAGAGATTTAACCATAAAATGTAAGACTGCAAAAGAAGCTGGTTGATCTCAAACTACTTTATTACAGCCTATATTCAAAGAAAGTTGAGGGAAAAAGGTGTGGAAAGAGAGCATGCTCCATTATGATCCACCACACTCAACACATTGTTACCAAAGGTTTTTTTCTCCATGTTAGCCACTCCACAACCAGAGCCATATTTGTCACAATTGTCCAACTTTGAGTAAGGAGAAAATTTATTGCTGTTTCTCAGTAAGACAGAGTCTCCGTTTTTGATTAAAGACTGCATTTCATTTGGTAATGCCGATCCTAATGTTGAAAAAGGTTTGAGAGGCTCACAATCTCTATTGATTAAAATTTAAAGTTAGGTCAAATTATCACACAGACTTAACAAAGTCTGCTAAGTTGTTGTTTTTTTTCCCCACTGACTTACCTAATGTCCAAATCTAACGCAGCGGTATTTTAGATCATTATTTTTGGGGTATGATGGTTTCATTTCCCAGCAGGACTCTGCACCTGCCCACTACTGTAAAATGTAACTGCAGTTCAGTGAATTTTACACTGCTTCATTAGCCAGCAGACTTAACAGACCCGAGGCTCAGAGATATTCTACACCTTTATGTATTTATTTTTCTTTCAGTGGAACCGTCGTCACCGTCCAGAACCAGCTTTTGCTACAATTACAGATGCATATATTTTGAGGTATGTCTCATCCAGCTTTGCAGTGCAAAGATTAACATTTTTATAAATTTTTCGAATAGATTAAGCACAGTGAGATTAGTAATGGGAAAGCATCCCTGAAGGAATTTTTTCTATTGGCATTACAAAGTATGAAAGGACCTATTTGTTGTTCTAAACCTAAGTTGTGGATTTCTGCAGCTCCTCTAATCAAAATGGGCCACTGGCATCTTATCTGATTAATACTCGCCTTGCTTGTTAGATTAAATGTCATATATTAAGTTTGCAGTTATTTAATGTATGATAATTTGAACTGTGATTTTATTTTTAATTTTAGACTATTTATCGTCTTAGTTTGCTTTTAAGTTCCCTAAAGCTTGAATAATTTTTCAGATATTTTTCGTTCAAATCCCCTGAAAACTATAATAATTTGTTCTATGTGGTTATGGTCCAAAATTTGTTGGTCAGTCATATAATATTTAAGTAAGACAGTAAAAAAAAATTATTTAGTTTTAACCACTTTTAAAAAGTGGTCTAGACATTTAATCAAGAATAAAATTCAGCATTTTAATGTGAATGTTAATGTTCACCTACTTTCTGAAGCACCTTCATTTTGTGTGAGGTCTTGAGGGGGCTGAAGACTATAAGGTAACTTTTAATAAAAAGTAACAAATCTTTGTCTGGGATGTAAAAATCTGAGTAAACAAAATAAGATTTTAAACAAATGTAATTTTAATAAATAAATAAAAAGTCTTCAAGCAAGATTTGAATGCTTTTCTTGTCAGGAGATCATGTAATAACTAGATTAAAAAGAGCAATAGGAAAACTATTACTGTAGTACGTCAGCAGTTGTTATACAAAACTTGCGTATTACTGTGCCGCTTTAAATCATTCAGATTGTTTTACATTTGGGAACTACTCAGTTCCACAAGGAACAAGGTAAGTGTTGTTGTTCTCGAGAACTGTAAGCTGTAAAGGGAGATTTTACTACATTACTATATAAACCTAAAAGCTTAAATGTCCTCTACAGGTTCCTCTGCACCAGATATGGATGACTCGAGCAACATAACGTTTGACTATGACAATGACTATGAGGATGAAGTTTGTGAAAAACGTGAAGTGGTCAAATTTGGGTCCATCGCCATTCCTATTTTCTTCTCTATTGTCTTCTCTCTGAGTCTAACTGGAAACATCCTGGTCCTCATCATCCTGGCTTTGTATGAAAACCTGAAATCTCTGACCAACATCTTCATCTTCAACCTGGCCATCTCTGACCTCGTCTTCACTATCGGCCTCCCCTTCTGGGCCATCTACCACATCTGGGGATGGGTGTTTTCAGAGTATGTGTGCAAGATTGTGAAGTTTGTCTTTTTTACTGGGTTTTATAGTAGCGTTCTTTTCCTGACCGTCATGACCATTTATAGGTATTTGGTTGTGGTCTATCCTCTCTCTGGCATAACTACTATGAAATTTTGGACTGGGTTTTTCCTGTCTGTCCTCACATGGATCATTAGTATTGGAGCAGCTATGCCATCCCTGCTCCAGACAGCCATTGTCAAAATCCATCACGAAGAATCAGACTCCTTGGGCTGTGAATATAAGACCGTCGAATGGAAAATCATTGGGATGTCTCAGCAGAATGTCTTCTTCTTGGCTGCGTTTGCAGTGATGGCTTTCTGCTACATTCAGATATTAAGGAGAATCACAAGAACAAGGTCCCACACTAAGAACAGAGCTGTGAAGTTAGTTTTCTGCATCGTGGCTGTCTTTTTTGTGGGCTGGGTGCCCTACAACCTGGTCATCTTTTTGAGAGCCTTATCACACAAAGCACATTACCCTTTTAATGACTGTACAGTGAGCATTCAGCTTGACTATGCTTTCCAAGTGTGTCGGTTCATTGCTTTCTCTCACTGCTGCTTGAACCCTGTCTTTTATGCATTTGTTGGTGTGAAGTTCAGGAACCATTTGAAGTCACTGCTGCATCGAATGTTTAGGCGCCCCAGTCCAGTGAAAGATCAAGATGCCAACAGGCTGAATCTCGCTTCACGAGGATCAATGTACTAGATGCAAATATAAATTTTCCTATTTTTATGCCTCAACGTTTATTATTTGCTGATACATGGTTGTGTAAAAATTAATGGAGTTACTATATATGAGACATTTTTAAACATGCTGCTATAGCTACAAAGTTAGATATTTGTACTCACTATTTATACACAGTGTGAGGCAACAAGAGAACATTGTATGATTTGTTGTAGTATAAGGAATAGAGGCAATCTGGTGTCAGCCATCTTTCATTAACTCCCTTAGGGGTTTAGATTAGGCCAGTTTGTTGACTAAATGTACAGTAGGACAGTAATATTTCATTATTTGATAGATAAGAGCCCTGATGAAAAATAAAACCAGCAACTCTATAAGGCCTGCCAGCAGAGGGAAGCATGACTAAAACCCAAAAAACACCTTGAATCTTTTGACTGTTAACTCTTCACCTTAATCCCCTCTCACACCTTGACGATTTAGCCAGCGTACAGTATGCTGAAGGGGGAAAAGGGGGGTTGACAGCCTAGTGGTTAGGGCATAGACCCAGAGGTGGCAAGTAACGATTACAAATACTTTGTTACTGTACTTAAGTACACTTTTTAGGTATCTATACTTTACTCCATTACTTATTTTTCTTCCTACTTCTGACTTCTACTAAAAACCTTTTCACATCAGTATCTGTACTTTCTATTTCTTACATTTTTAAAAGCATGTTGAAATGTCTGAAAGGTCGGACACAGGCGAGAGCGTATCTCGGCCCTATCTCGAAGAATTTTTCGAAATTGAGCTTTTGATTCCTATAGTGGCATCTGGCTGTTTATTTTATTTTATACTTTAAGTATGAAAGTATAAAGTAACTCCCACAGACTGCCACTCTGGATCTTCTAAAACACTGGCAGATGCCGAACTTCCTATATAATTTTTCAATTTTGGGTGGATCATAGAGTATTCATAACGAATCCAGAATTTATCTCCAGCAACAGCCTATCTTATGCAAAACAGACGGCAGCGTAATGCCTATGAAATGATGCACAAAGGAGTGTCCTGAGGGGGACAGCAATACACACGGTGGCACCTGGTCTACATAAAAAGCACAACAAGAAGATTCCACTAAATGCCATTATACAGTAGCTGTAAATTAGAAACTTGTTCAGCGGTCGTCTGGAACACATCAAATACTTCGATATGCATTGGAGATAAGTTATGCATAAATTATGCATAAGTTATACACAAGTTACTCATAGATTTTGGATAAGCTAGACACCATGACTTATGGGTAACTTAAACTTAACGTATGTTAACAATCAAAAAACTTACCTGTAACTTATGCCCCACGTATGGCATACACTGGCATACGTCAAGACTTGTGCTCAACATACAGTACTTGCCGTATGTCAACATGCTTCAGCGTGTTTCAGCGTGCTCCACTTATACAAAACTTCCCCATAGCATACCAACATATGCCAATGTTTTTGCCAGATTTTTCGTACATCAGGCTGGCTAAATCAAGATGTGACAGGGGATTCAGTTTCCAATTGAAATAAAAACAATGAAACAGTCCTTGCATCATCCAGGCACCATTCATCTATCCTTGCATCCTTGGAGTGGCTTAATTAAAGTAATGTCTCCAAATCTTGTGAATCTCCAAAAACTCTTGAATAGAATTTGCTCCACAATCCTTTGAAGGCAGCAGTTATTATAGATACATGTGTACATTCTTCTAATATACTTTTTCACTAAATTATTTAGTTTATTTGGATACAGCCCTCTCTGCACAAAATACTTCTTTAACAATGACTTTTAGTGGCTTACCCTGCATTTATTCAGCAGTCTTTCCTAAGTACGTGTAGGTTATAAAATACAGGATGTGTAAAAAAAATACATTTTATTTAAACACTTGTCTGATGTATTTTCTATTTTTTTAAGAAGCTGAATATTGAGGTTTAGCTTGATTATTAGATAATAATCAAAGCCATAACCATAGAACATAATTTGTGTAATTAGTCTATAATACATGTTTTACTCTGGGCTGAATTACTGAAATAAATGAACATTTTCTACATTATTCTAGTTTGTGGAATTTCTTTAGTTGTTTTTATAATGGTAGCATG